ATCTATCTATCTATCTATCTAACTAACTAACTAACTAACTAACTAACAAAGCCTCCCTTGGCAAAGCTATTTTGTTCAGCATAGCACTCAGAATACTCAGATTTCAGTTCTGCTGCCACAATGCTGAACAGGACAAGGTAAAATAAGAAATTAAATAAATTAAAAATGGGGGTCCAACAGACGTGGTAGAAGTCCCGTGAGACGCTGAGCACCAGGCTGAAGGGGGACCCGGCGGGGAATGGGGAGCTGAACTTCCTCTCCTCACTGCCCCAGCTGCCGTGCTGCAGCGTGTTGGCGACCACGTAGGCCTGCCCGTCGTAGCGCGGGTTCAGGTGGAGGGCCACGTCCGCCCCGGCCCCGGAACCGCTCTGCAGGTTGATGTGGAACCTGCAAGAAAGGCAGAAGATCCGATCACAGATCCGGTCAGAGGGCGGGAAACAGCCTCCACCAAAGCTATGGTCAGGGAGGACTCAGATGCAGAGATGTGGTGATAAAAAAAGGTTTAAATGAACAAAAAAACACAACAAGGTACACAAAACTATGAATAAAGTATCAAAGCAAGATTAACATGGCTCTGAACAAAGTATCAAAACAAGTAAACAAGACACAGGAAACAATGAAGTGAACAAGACTATGGCAAAAACAAGACTGTGACGAAGTACAAAATTAAAAAAAACTCTTAGGTGGCGTGGACAAGACGAGGAACTAGAGGACGAAAACACAAAAGACACAAAACACACTGGCACAGGACAGGGGAAACGAGGACTATTTAATCCTGTAATGCCAAATGTATCACATTTGATACACACGGTTTCTGAAATGTTTTGCGTCTGACACCTTTAGCATGATTTAATGTTAAAAACTTTGCTCATCCAAGAAACATAGGAAGAATATTGGATTTTTTTTAGTCTGAAGTCTTTCTTTGGCCCCTCAACAACATATGAAGAAAAAAAAAAAACATTATTTTGATCAAATTAGCGTGCAATAAGTCAAAAATATATGTTGGTGTAGTCTTCTACTGGCTGTTATCAGGTATATCTGAATGTGTACAACAGGGGTTTGAGCAAAGCTTTTACCACTCAATGATGCAAAAAGTCTCAGATCCAAAAGACTTCAGAAACCGGATCAGATATGACACATTTGGCATTATAGGGTTAAATGAGGCCCGAAAGGAGGGGGGGGGGGTCACCTGTTGGCTCCAGGTAGCACGCGTCCGCTAACGATGATGCATTTTCCCTCCTGCAGGCCGCCGTGGATGGAGCCGGTAAACGGGATGCTCTGGGGGGGGGGGAAGAGAGATTATGACTTATTTCATAGAGAGGTCACTTTGTGGGCAGCAGAAAGAGAAGCTAGGGAACAATCTGAGCTTAAATATGAATCTGCTACCGTACTTTACACACAGTTACAACAGGAAGTGCCTTTTTCCGTACTTCTGCCCACTTACTGGCTTCTGTCTTTGTTCTGCTTCAGGATTCGGCTTTTTTTCTAAACTCTCTTCTGGTGGAATC